CAGTGAAGCTTTCTGATTGACAATATTAATTTTTACTTCTTTGAGGTAGAGTCTTTGCATAAGGATTTTCCATACCTCTCAATTTCTCTAAAAGGCATTGTTGCCTTAGAAATAAAGCAGAAGCTTATTTTCCCAAATGGAAGTGATGTGTTCCTCACGTAATAAGAATCCTCAACCCGGGTACTTTTCAACATGATGATCTCTGATCGTGTGTTCAGAAAGGTTTGATAGCAATTATTTAACAGTTTCCATAAACCGGATCTCTGCAGTTATCAATCAATCTGTGCAGCTGATACATGCCTAAATATAGTTTCTTAGCAGATTCTTTGATATATTTACTAAATTGGTGATTACATTTACTCAATGCCATTTAGTTAATGACTGTTTATTGGAAAGTTGTGCCAAGGGGGGAGGCTGGTGCTGTGGTATAGCAGACAAAGCCTCTGCATGCAGTGCTGACATCGCCTCTGGGTGCCGGTTCGATTACCCGCTGCTCCACTTCCCATCCAGCTCCGTACTGATGCATCTGGGAAGGCAGTAGGAGACGGCCCACATGCCTGGACCCTGCACCCACATGGGAGACCCGGGAGAAGCTCCTGGCTTCAGATCAGCCCAGCTCTGGCTGTTGTGGCCATATGAGGAGTGAACCAGCAGGTGGAAGACCTCTCTCGCTCGCTCGCTTGCTCTCTCTCTGCCTCTGCCTCTCCCTCTCTATAACTCTGACTTACAATTAAATAAATGAATCTTAAAAAACAGAAGGCAAGGAGGCGGATGGGAATTGAGCTCACACTTGTTGCTGCAGTGAGGAATTAAAGACCACACGAAGGACGGCTCTTCCCTTCCTTTGGCTGTGTTCCTGATTTTACTAATTTGCCCCCTTGGGGCAAGAGGGACATAAGGAGTGTGGCCATGGAACATCCATTCAACAGTTGTTCTCAAATCATTAATTAAAACCAGACCTGGGGAGGAGATTGCGCAGCCCGGTTGGAGCCTGTTCGGTGCTTGCCGCGCAGAGGTGGGGAGCAAGGCTGTCACAGCCGCCTGGGGACAGCTTCACTGCCTGCCGGCTCAGGGAGGGGCCTCTTCTGTCACTCACCAGGGCTTTAAACTTGGCTGTGCTCTGCTGTGTGCCCCAGTGTGCAGTGTTGCAGTGTGAATCCCAGGCCTGCATTTCAGTGGTCATCTTGGAACACTTCTAACACTCTCTTTTTTTAAGTTTGTGCCTTTCCTCGTGAATGTCCTTTTTTTCAGGGAAAAGAAGAGACTAAAATGGAGACATGAAACAGGAAGACGAGGAGGTCGGCTTTTCTCTCCAGTTCCTAAGATCTGCCCTCGGGTGAAAATTTCTGTGAACAACTTCGCCTCTGACCAGCATTCCTCCTCCTGGAGAGACACTGTACACCGTGAGGGGTCCGCTGTCTTCAGCTGCCATCTCCAGTCTCAGGGTAAGGGAAATGCTTGTTCTCTTGTGTACCAGGTTTGGGTGAGAGGAAAACGGGCAAGGAAGGGTAATGCTTTCAGATAACTCACGTTTTGTGCATGTTCAGTTCCCACACGCCTAACGTGAGCTAGACGTGCAGGGTCTGGGAGAGAGGAGAAAATCAGTTGGAAAGCAGGACGGCCATGGAGATGTGAGTAGCGAGGACACTGCCCTGAGAAGACAAGGTTGGAAACGATGAAGCACAAACCAGCTGTGACCGCAGAGTGAGCTAAACTTGGACAGGACTGAAGCATCGGTTACCAGAGTATTCATTTAGCACATTTCAGGATGCATGTCAGGTGAGAGTGAAATGTTGGCAAGTTAGTGGAGGGGAGCAGCAAGAGTCATGGAAACACTTGGTGAAGTTGGCTGTATTTCTGGCTTTTGTGTACAAAACTTCCACTCATTGACGAGGGTCATCACTTCCTGGCCCTGGTGTCCAGATCAGAGATGACCAAACGATAAATCCTATTTCCAGCCTTGCACAAAGCCACCAATGTTCAGTGAACTGATTTCATCCACTGTTTCCTATGACCTGCTCTGAACACATCAGGAGGCAGCGCGTGGAAGACAGGAACTTGCTCCCGTAGCTGTGGCCATGGCTGGCCAGGCAGGGTCAGCCAGGCTGCGCTGGGTGTGAGGCTGCAGGGCACTGGACAGCCTGCATGTTCCTCTGCACTTCTGGCCCCTGCCTTTCACTTTCCTTCTTTTCAGACTTGAGGCTCCCTCCCACCCCTGTGGTCTTCAGAATTAGCCTGGGGGACAGGGTGACACCTTGAGGATATCAAAGCAATAATCGCACACATTTGCAATGGAAAAAGACTGAGAGTCAAAGTCATTCAGTTTTAGGGGCGCTCTAGGAAGGTGCTGCAAATTCTGTGAAAAATGGAATGAAAACCTAAGTTTATTTTGGTGCAAAGATTTTTAAATCCCACATACATGGGACCCTCAAAATGTTCACATAAAATGTGCATTGTAAGACTCTATGCATGTGTCTCAGCCAGTTTTTGTACCCAGATAAACATGTTTTAATTTCATTTTGTCCTGAACTGAATGAAGTGTCCTTGTACACACTGACTGTTCAGAGGACTGCTCACCCCAACTCTCTGTAACTTGAGAAGACAGAAACACACAGCAGACAAACCCAGGCAGACCAGCCTGGGTGCAAGCTGGAGGTGATGATGGGAGGGGGCCGTGTGGGACTCGCGGTGGTCAGAAGCTAGGGGCATCACGGACACCGGTCTCTGGTAACCACCAGAGTCTAATCCACTTCATGTGAAAAGGCAGGAAATAAACAGTTCTGCGTGTATGCCAGGTGAGGCGAGGTGCACGGGGCACTCCTGATCCTGCAGCCTCCACACAGAGGCCAGCTCCTGGATACCCAGTCTCCCTACATTAGAATCCACGTGTGTACACCTCTTATTTGAATTTATTAGGTGCATGTTTTCATAACTTATTAGGTTGGATCTTTTATTCTATCACATCTTTCTTCTGTAACAGTTACGTTGCAAAGTGCAATAATAAAATGTTTTCTGGGTAGCCTTTGGCTCCCTACATAATATGCCTGCTGTGGCGCAGCTTTGAGCTTCCTTTACTTAAGCAGTGTTTTCATTCTACTCCGAGTACGTGTAAGTCTGCTCTTGTTTTGTATTTCTTACTGGCTCAGTGATACGGACCAATGGAATAGATTAAAGATATAACGCATTTTCTCTTAAAATCTACATTATAAAATGATTTCTTTGCTCCATTTCACTATTTCCTTAAATAGTATTCTGCACACGCTCAAATCACTCTGTTTTTGCATCTTTTAAAAATATTTTCAAAATGTTAATTGCCACTTAGAAATTATGCACATTTATGGGATATATTGTGACATTTCAATGCATATATATAATAGATATGGATCGTAATTTGTGTCTTTTAATTCTATCTTTTTGTTTTTGCACTTTCTTTCTTTAAAGAGTAAATCCATACTTCTAAAAGGGGGTGTTTGTCCTGCAGAATTTTGTAACTCTAATTAACATTCTTATCTAATCTAATTAATAGTTTTAAGAATCTTCTTTGCTGTTACATTATACATTTTTTTCTTCCATGTTTTCTGGTATTTTAGAATACACACATATTATTAATAACAATTCTGCTAGTGCTTTTCAGAATTGTCCTCACCCTTGTAGTTGTCTTTGTTGGAGCCATCTGTAAATGTCTATCTTTTCTGGCTCATCTACATGTTAACCTTGTGACAATTGCACACAAATGCATTCATTGCCAGTCCCTTCCCTGGGTGCTGCACACAGGGGGCCTTGTGACAATGTCTTCAGCTCCTTGTGGGGAGCAACTCGGACTAGACTAAGTTACTGGAATTAAGACTTATTCTATGCATCTGCTCTCCCACAATATGGCGCTGGGAGAGGAGTAAACAACTTTTGCACAGCTGCCTCCGGTTCGACCAATAACCTGCAGGAGCTGATCCTGCTCCTGATTGGAGGAGAGCAGCGTACTCGGCGTGTGGGTAGCAGAGTTGGGATTGGTGGAAGAGGACTATAAAGGAGGAGAGAGACAACATGCACCAGGAACATCTAAGGGGAACATCTGGACAACATCTGAGCAGCCCCCGAGAGAGCCGGCCGGCGGTGTGCCACTCCCCCATGGAAGTGGGGAAAGTGGCAGGGGGAACCGCCCCTCCACGGAGGTGGAGGGTGAGCAGCCAACCCGGGAAGAACCAGCAGCAAACCTGGGAATGGCCGAGCAGACAAAAGAACAGCGCAGGGTCCTGTGTCGTTCCTCCGTGAAGAGGGGGAGCGACACTCCTGGGGCAATGCATGATGGAATTCACTTACTGGTGCTTCCTAATTCCCCAATTCCATGGAAGGTGATCTGTGTTATGCAGAAAATCGGCATTCCGCTTTTAGAGAGATAGGTAGGTAGGTAGATCTGTTCCTGTGAATTGCTTGGAATTCTATGCAATTTTGCAATCACATGATTGGTAAACATGGATATTAAAACTGAATTCAATGTTTACTATTAGTGATATTGCATGGTTTCTTCCATATTCTTAGTTTCAGTTTTGTTTCATCTACACAAACAGTGGAGTGTATTTTAGTGTTTGTCAGACCTAAATGTGTCTCAGAACATCTTCCTGCTTGATTGACACATTACTGGCTCCTCCAGTGGGTCTGAGTATCATCAGTAACTTTTACTGAGCACAGAGCAGTTTTCGACACCAGTCTAAAAAACTTCCGTGGACTAATGAAGTTGCCCTGGAAACCTGTGTCTTTCATATTATTACAGAGAAAATGGGGAAACTGATGCAAAACAAATTGCCTGCGATCACACATTTGGAAATGGAAACCAAACCCAAGAAAATGCTGGTTCTAACTCCCAAATTCTGTTTTGGGGGTTTGCAGATTTCTTCACTCTTGGTGGATGTTATCATCTGAGGCTAGTGTGAACTCCAATCTGCTGAAGGTGGCCCTGTTTTCCTTTCCTTTCATCTGTGTGCGAGCTGCTAGATACTTTTACTTCAAATAACTTGCTGGAATAGGCATGAGTGCATCCTTGTATTCAGTGAGACATCTTTCCACAGTCTTCTTGTCCCTTTAATAAAAGTTTTCCTTTCTTCAGTTTTTACTTATAATTTTCTTAAATTTGTGGAATTATTCTTTTAGAATCATTGAATACTTTATTTTGCTTTTGTATGCTCATTACTCCATGTCTATTATTTTCTTCTTAACATTGAGCATCCATCTCTCTGTGTTCCTGGAGGGCTATTCAAGCTCTGTCCTCACGCAAGGTACAGTTTCACGCCATCAGCCGATTCTTGCTGTCTCTCCTGTCACTCTTCCTCCCAGTGCTGTTTAAGTGCCACAGGCAAAGCAGTGCCCTACCTGAGTGTCCTGAAGGTCCCCTGCTCTGTGGCCCTTTGGCTCCTCCCAGCCTTGTTGGCCCCTTCTAGTCTCCAGGTCACCGTTGTGGACCACAGGTGAGACGGATGGGGACAGACTAACCCACCATCCCCTCGTTCTCCCTCACCACCCTTCCCTAATGGGCAGCTGGGCTTTGTAGTTGTGTCTGCATTTTTGTTGAAAGGATAGGGAAAACTCAGAAAGGTTAGCTTTCTAGCAAGCTTTCATGTTTCCCACCACTCACTATGGGGAAAATGCTCCTCCAGGCACTTACCACCAGGGAGATGCAAACAAAAACCACCATGAGGTTTCACCTCACCCCCGTGTAAATGGCTTTCATATAGAAATCAAAAAACAATAAACGTTGGCAAGAATGTGGGGGAAAAGGTGCCCTAATCCACTGTTGGTGGGAATGTAAAATGGTACAGCCAGTGTGGAAGACAGTATGGAGACACCTCAGAAATCTGAATATAGACCTACCATATGACCCAGCCATTGCACTCCTGGAAATTTACCCAAAGGAAATGAAATCAGCATGTGAAAGAGTTATCTGTTCCCCAATGTTTATTGCAGCTCAATTTACAATAGCTAAGATATGGAATCAATCCAGTTGCCCATCAACCAACTACTCAGCAAAGAAAATGTGATATATATACACTATGGAATACTACTCAGCCATAAAAAGGAATGAAATCCTGTCTTTTGCAATAAAATGGATGCAACTAGAATCCATTATACTTAGTGTAATGTGCCATTTCCAAAAAAAGACAATTACCATAGTTTTCCCTGACCTTTGGTAATTAATAGAGTACCTAAAAATGTAATGTATATGAGCAAAATCGATATTTTGAGAATTGATTATTGTTTACAACCATAGTCTCTACTGTGGAAGACCAGAGTTTTTTTCTTCCTACTATTTGTTGAATTTTTACTTAGTAGAGGGTTAATCTTATGATTATAAAATAAACTGAAAGTATGTCATTGCAAAAATAAAAAGAATAAGAGAAGAAGGATGGAGTGTGGGGTCATGGGTGGGAGGAAGGGTAGGGTGGGAAATATCACTATGCCCATATATCTGTATATATGAAATACATGAAATTTGTTCACCTTATATAAATAAAAAAGTTGATATTCAATATCCAAGTCCCTTTTGAAAACTCAATTGGATATAGGCAATATTCTGATTCCACATTTTCAAAACATAATAATCAACACCTATATCTATGTGAGATATTTTATACATATTTTCTCTTAGGAAAATTGCCTTGCTAGTGTGTACGTAGAAAAATAAATTTGAGAAATATATTAACATTTTTAACCACACGGAGGTGACATTAAGTTTGGATTAGACGTAGAAAGCTGCAGGTCTTCAGTAATAAGAGTGCTTGCACCCTTTGTTAGGTTTCAAGTGCCTCTGAGGCACCTCAAAGGAGAAGTTTCATCTTCTGAAAACTCCAGCTGAGGAAGAGCATACCCAAAATGCAGGTAGGCTCCGCTCTCTGTGTCATGAACACAAACAAATTAAAAAGGAAAGGCTGCAAATGTAGTAAGAACTCAGGGAAATTCCAAGGAAATCCCCCCCTTTCAGGTTTGTCTAAGCTAATCCATGGTATACAGTCCTCCCCATAAATTATTATTATATTTTCTACTTTAAATCCCAAATAACATCATACATATTTTTTATAAATTCCAGAATGTTCTGTTCATCATTATTAAGTTTCATAAAAATAATATATATGCCTCAAAAGTTAATGTTGAAATTAATATTTACCCCAAGACAACTACATTTTGAACACTTATTGTATGACACAAATGGTATTGCATTTGGATATTTACTTAGCAAGGTGATATTTAAAGTATCAAGGATAAAAATGCAAATAATTTAGTCTTTTTGATCAAAACTTCCTTTGGGTAAATATTTAAAGACTAAAAAAAAGAGTAAGTAGCAGTCATGACTTTCAACTTCCTTTCTGGTCCAAATGCTCAATCATCTACTTTTGCTTATGCAGATCCCGTTTCTCAACACCCTTTGAAGAGCACCCATCACTTCTTTGTTCCTCAGGGTATAGATGAGAGGGTTCAGCATGGGTGTGACCACAGTGTAGAAGAAGGTGAAGAACTTGCCATATGTTGAAGTAAAGTTGGTCTTAGGGTTTATGTACACAACTGCCACTGTGCCATACAACATGAAGACCACAAAGAGGTGGGAGGAACAAGTGGCAATGACTTTCTGCCTCCCCTCCTCTGCCTTCATTTTCACTACTGCTTGAGCTATACATCCATAAGAAGTCAGGATCAACCCCACAGGCAGCATGGTGAAGATGACAGCAGAGATGGTCATCTGCCACTCAGTGGCAGAGGTGTCTCCACAGGCCAGGCACAGGAGGGCAGGAACATCACACATAAAGCTGTCCAGGCGGTGATGGGAGCAGAAGGGTAGCTGGAGTGTGATGGGAGATTGGGTCAGAGACTCCATCAGGCCACACAGCCAGGCCATAAGCACCAGCTTCCAACAGAGTGGACGGTGCATGATGGTGGTATAGCGCAGAGGCTGGCAGACAGCCACATAGCGGTCAAAGGCCATGACCATCAGCAGGACGCCTTCTGTGGCCCCAACACAGAGAAACATGCAGAGCTGCATGACACAGCCTGCATAGGTGATGCTCTTGTCTGGCCCCCACAGGTTTGACAGCATCTGGGGCACCGGGATTGTGGTGAAGCAGAGATCCAAGAAGGAAAGATTGCTAAGAAAGAAGTACATGGGGGTGTAGAGACGAGGGTCCATGCACGAGAGCAAGATGATGGTGGAGTTGCCCAGGATCGTCATGAGGTACAGCATGATCACAATCCAGAAGAGAACCGACTCTTCCTGGGGCCATTCAGAGAACCCAAGAAGGATGAAGCCTACTGGGAAACTTTTGTTAGTCATTCCTCTTGCTTTTGCATTGGGGTTGGATGCAAGGTGAGATATTATGAATGGATTTTGTAGAAAGATTTGGCTTAAATTTGTTTAGAGAAAGTAAGCATTGTTAGTTTTCTAGGCCTTTCGGGAATGTGTCCCTTCACCTTAGTTCCATAAGATACAATCTCTGTTTCTAAGACTGCGTTTTTATGTCAAAAGAATATTTTTAAGACAGCTCCCTTGGAATTTGCCTCTGAGATCTGTAATCACAACATCCCCAGTGGACGCGTTCACAGAGCTCCCTCACATGGTTCATGTTCCTCGCAGCACACCTCTGCAGTGATAGTCACAGCAGCTCTCCAAAAGTCTTGCAATAGGAAATGCTAGATCCAAACCTTAGCTTTCACTTATCTACAACATAATCCTTCAACAAGGCATATTTTTATTATTTGGTGATGTTAGTGGGGAAAAATGAAATTCAGGTAATCTCAGGATCAAAGTCCTATTGTTTTCAGTGTAAACCCTGAAGGAGAACCTGAAGTCATTAGCAAACCCTGGAGTCTGAGGAAACACCGTGCACAGGAGACACACTGGTTTTTCAATGGTGAAAAACTAGATTGGGTGACTGGTGTTGTAGCATAGAGGGTAAAGCCCCTGCTTTGGCGCCAGCTTCCCATATGGGTGCTGGTTCGTGTCTTGGCTGCTCCACTTCCAATTCAACTCCCTGCTAATGGCCCGGGAAAATCAGTAGAAGACAGAAGAAGCATCTGGGCCCTGGGCCCCTGCCAGCCATGTGGGAGACCCAGATGAAGCTTCTGGGTTAGAACTGCCCTAGCACTGGATTGAGACTGGGGAGTAAGGCACTGAATGAAAAATATTCTTTCTATCCCTCTCCCTCTCTCTTTCTTTGCCTTTCCCTCTCTCTCTCTCTCTCTCTTTCTCCCTCCTCACCTGCCTCTCCCAATCTCTCTTTCCTCCTCTCTGTAACTCTGACTTTGAAAATAAATATATAGGGGCTGGTGCTGTGGTGTAATGGGCTAAGTCGCCACCTTTAGGGCAGGTATCCCATAAGGGTGCCAATATAGTCCCGACTGCTCCACTTCCTATCCAGCTCTCTGCTATGACCTGGGAAAGCAGTAGAAGATGGCCCAAGTCCATGTGCCCCTGCACCCATGTGAGAGACTGGAAAGAAGCTCCTGGCTCCTGGTTTTGATCACCACAGCTCGAGCCTATGCAGTCACTTAGGGAGTGAACCAGTGTGGTGGAAGACCTCTCTCTCTCTCTCTCTTCCTCTCTCTGCCTCTTTGTCACTCTGCCTTTCAAATAAATAAATCTTTAAAAAGTAAATAAATGAATCCAAAAAAAAAAAAGCAAATCTAGGATGGGCACATGGTTTCTTCACCCTAGATAAAGTAATGTAATTAACTCTTAAGTAAACCACTCTAACATGCTGAGCCACTTTTCTTATCTAAGTAAACAGGGTCAACATGCCAAGTTAAGAAATCTCGTTGAGAGGATTAAGGTCCTCATTAAAGGGATAAAGTATAATTGCTCCTGTTACCTTTCAGCAGAAAACAGTCAGCTTGGACATGGACATCACGGAAAGCAAAACCCCAGCATTGTTATCTAATCCTTGATGTCCTCATCTATCAGCTAGGCATAATACATAAATTTCAACCAAGAAATAAATAAAAATAGAAATGAGTCACGATGACGAATGATGATCTGTGTGATGATTTTAAAGCTTTGTTTTCTGGGCAAGTAGAAAGGATGGAAGGCAGTTGTAGCGTTAAATTGAGTTAAGAAACACGATCCTAGCATATTACCTTTCTGGCTTGCAGATCAACCAAGAATATGAATGGAAGTGAGCACACAGAAAATTAAATGACTGGAAACTGAGTTACAGATTTGAACATCAGATTTTAAAAGTGGGCAATCCAGGCAAGAATTTGAGGAACACTACAAGGGACTGCTACAGGACAGCAACTTCATAGGGGGTTAGCCATGGCCTCCATGCACCTCACATAGGGAAGAGAAGCACAAAGCTTTATAAAGCTCAGAGAGCAAGTGGACGGAGGCCACATGCCACAAGGGATTCACCTTTTTCAGATGAGATTTACTACACATTAGAAAAACATTGTTTTATTATCAAGAACCAGAGTAGGATGATTTCATGCCATAGAAGAGGAAATCTTGAGCCAAAGGACTCTGTTAGCTCCCAGAAGTTCTGCATGGCAGAGAGAAAATGAGAGCCAAGTCATGGACAGGGGCAGCATCTCTGTTCTACCTCTATCTCTGTTCTACCTCTAACTCTGATCTGAGCTCTACAAAGCACCCAGAATTAATGACAGAATGTCCACTCTGTCCCGTCAGACTGTACTGGGTCTTCACCGCATTTTCTTACCTGAATCCACCTTTGCCTGGTGGGGATCACCTCTGCAAGAAACAGTGTTAGGGTCTAAAAAAAAGCCCACTGCCCGAGGAACGACTCCAAGAGACTTTTTCTCTCATGCAACCAGCAAAGGGTTAATTTATTGATCCAACATGTTGGGGCCCTCTGACAAGGACAGAGGAGCAGTGAGGAACTACAGCATAGGGTTTATAAAGGCAAAAACCGCAAAATCGGGAGGAGGGAGAGAATACACGGTTGCTAAGCGGTTGCTAAAATCTTACAATCAGCAATTATGATTTTAAGACATAGACAAATCACATCTTCATTATTAGCCCAGGTAACCCAGGTGCAACCTTTCTACTTTTAAGCTTGAGCAATCATGCTAGGGGGTTTTTGTGCGTTGCCAAGGGTGATGTAGTGCACTGCTATTGTCCGACTATTTGAGATCATAGTTTCAGACCAGAGTCTCACGGGGGGGGGGGGGGTTGCTTTCCCAGAATGCAGTCTCAAGTGCTCCAAAATGGAGTCCCTACTGTCAAGGTGCTACTTTACTCTGTCTTATTTTCACAGCTGCACCAGGAAGGTTTAAACCTGTAAGCTTAAGCTTAACTTTTGACACCCGTACATATACAATTTTAACTCTTCAACAGTGTCATGTGTACAAAACTTGTCCATCTGGATTTTCTCTTGGAAATGATATCATGGGTTCAGTTGTGTTGAGTTTTATATTTTTATTTATGAGAGACAGAGTGTGTGTGTGTGTCTTCCCATTCATTCGTGCAATCTTCCAAATGCCCACAATGACTGGGAATGGTCAGGTCAGACAGGAGTTGGGAATTCAATCCAGATCTCCCACATGGGTGTGGGGACCAAGCTACTTGATTTGTCTCTTGCTGCCTCCCAGAATCTGCATTGGTAGGAAGCTGAAGTCAGTAGCTGGTGGCAAGCATTGAACCCAGGTGCCACAAAATGGCGTATGGGTGTCTCACCCAAGATCTTAATCGCTGAGCTAAATGCCTGCCCTTGCCTTATATTTATAAATATCTATAATTTTCATTATATTAATATATTTTGTGTTATAGATCATTGAAGACATATATGAAACACAATAATTTAATAATAAAGATAGCGCTAATCCCACCATCATAGATTTATGATAAATTTGTATTTCTTGCTTTCCACATCCCATGGCCATTGGGTTGCTGTGTCATCCTGGAATTTGGCTACAATTATGGCAGGATCCATACATTTCTATTCTTGTGGCTGTGGCCAAATGATTAATCAATTGCGGGGAGACACATCTCTCTCATTCTCTTGTCTCTGCCTCTCTCCATTTTCTGTGTATCTCTCTCTCTCTCTCTCTCTCTCTCTGACTTTCTCTCTGTATCTCTCTCTCTCTTGTTGATAATGAAATTTAGCAGTATTTAAGAAATACATTAATACAAAGATTCAAATTCTCATTGGGTCATAGTTTCATTAAGCTGACCACTATTCTGAGAACAAAATATTCAAACTTGTAAAAATAATTAAACTCTACAATATGCTACCTAACTTTAGCAATATACTACCTAACTTTGTATGCCTTCAGTAAGAGGAATTTTGTGTATTTTTGAAACTTAAAGAGAACAATACACAACATTATCATTGTACATCGTGATGTTTTAAAATATCCATATGTTGGGGAAAGGCTAAGCCTAACTAACAAATGCACAGTTGGATGAGAGGAATAAATGTCAGGAGACCTTTTGTACAACATGCTGTATTTTTGAAATTTACTGCTGGGATATAAAAATGAAATTGCATAGATTTCTGCAACAAATTCATCATAATATCGGTTGTAACCTAACGTGTGAGTGTCTAGGTGTACTTCACAGCACAAATTCTGCAGTAAGTGCACATTGCAGGATGCCCGAGTCTGGAGAGGGAGCAATTTCTGCATCTTAGAACACAGCCTGTTAGATGCAGTGCTGGACACTTGGCACAAGTCTCCTTCAAGCCCAGAGACAGGTTGTACATTCTGAGATTCCACTCGTCTGACTGCTCCTTTCTCATTTCCTAACCCCCCCACCATAGCAGTGACAGTGGCTCACCTGGGCTGGAAATCAGTTCAGTGGTACTGCTGGAAATCTCAAGCCCTCTTGGCCAGGAGCACCCTGCAGATCTTCCTTGTGTTGGGATCTAATCTCAGCTCCCTGACTCTGAGATCCCCTTCAGTTAAATATTAGGTGTGGTGTCCACCTCAGCAGATGGGCAGAAATCATGTGACTGTTCTGTTTCCCCAGAGGGAAAGAACAAAGGAGCACAGAGGGCCCTGAGCTCTCTGCAGGTCCCGGAGGCCTCTGTCTTTGTAGGTAATGAACTGCAGTCCCCACACGCGGCGTAGGCCTGAGAGTGAAAAGCGCTTCCCCCGTGCTTCACAAAGTCAACTGAGCTACCAGCTAATTGCTTTAGTTTGCCTGTTTTATGTTGATCCCTAGTAACATAACAAAGCAATTGATTTATTGGTTATAGAAGCTGAAGTTCCAACAGTCATTTATTAATTCACTCCACAAATGCATATTTAGCTGCTGGGTTCACATTCCTGTGCTAGTCATGGAAGATACAATAAAACTAAAGTCAGCAATAATTAAGAAAATATTCTTTATCAGGCTGAAATTAATTG